TTGCTTTTTTTTTTTTTTAATTGCTTCCTCTCTCTCTACCACATTGTTTCTGCTGATACTACAGTGACTACCAGTGCCTTTTTAAAAGAGATTTCTCATATTCTTACATATGGGCTGTTCCTATATGAGGTGAAGACACAGACTGCTTTACCTTCAGGGGGAGCAGAGGAGATGGAAAAGTGAGGAATTAATTCATCTGTGGAAAGAGCTGTCCTTGGGCAACTTCTCAGCAAGCAAAAGCTCTGTTGGTTTTCCTCAGGATAAGAACCTAATAAAAAATATTTAATTTTTTTTTGTTTTTTTTTGGTCCCTGTATGATTTTACAGATGGAAAATCATTTATTTAGCTAAAAGCACTCTTTTGCAACTAAAAGGGTTTTGAAGGATACATTCATAGGCACGTAGATGGCTAGTGCAGGAGCACTGTGCTCTGTAGTCATCCACACCACCAGCACTGCATGTCAGGGAACCAGATGCAGCACCTGCATAGCAACCTCTGCCCTCTGAATGGTGGTGACCTAGTGAAGTGGCACAGGTGCATAAAAATCAATGACAAATGACAAGTTGTGTGTGAAAATTGCATAGCACTTCGGTGCTTGCTGCTTGGGTCCCTTCCTGCCTGCAGCTCAGGAACACCATCCTTGTCATTTGGCACACCTTACCAACAAGCCCCAAGCCAACTAACAGGTGTTTGACATAGCTGTGTAAATACAGCGCTGCATACAGACCTAACTTGTGCACTTGGCTGTCACTAAAATAATCAGTAGACTACTTTAAGCGATCTGGTATATATTCACAGCAGTCATTGCCCTTCCACTATTAGCAGGCCACATTGGGTTTGCAATTGGTTACCTGCGAGCAGTAAAAAAAAAAAATTCAAAAGACAACCCTGGCTGAGACACCGATTCTGAGAGACAGTGCATGCTGGAAGTCAGTCACACTCATCTTGTGGTACCTATCCAATCCTGAATTCAATACATTTAGCAACAAAGCATTACAAGGTGGAACATATGGTCCTGCTAATGCCTGCACGCGAGCCAGCTACAGAAATCATCAGCTTAACAACCTCAAACCCAAATTCATCTAGTTATAAATGGCTACTAGCTCTTGGGATAGATGGGCAGGATGTCTGGTTTTTCATTTCATTAGAAGGGAATGAGAACTGTGTAGCAGCAGAAAGTAGGGCACGAGCTGCTCTTCTCCTCTGCTGTGGAAGCTTAGGGAACAAGCCCCCTATCCATTTGGTTTCATCTTAGTCAATTTTATCCTAACGAGTGAGGCTGTTTATAGGCTTTCTGTCCCACTCGAAGGTGTGTTCCCTAACCCCTCACTGATTCCTTAGATGAATGAAATGATTCTGAATGTACCTGTCTCCTTTCTCGGCAGGTATCATTTAGGTATCACTGTAGGTTATACAACGAATGGCGTCAGACCAACCAGCGGGTGATACTCCTCATCCCCAAGTCTGCCAACATTCCCTCCAACCAGCAGTCCCTGCTAGGCCTGCCATCAGTCAAAAGGAACTCAAAGGAGACAATTGTTTGATTTGGGCCATTCTGCTCTGAGGCTGTGCACTAAGGACATTTGCCTCACTGTGCTCAAACACCATACAGAACCCAGCAGTGTGCTATCCTGATGCACAAACTCTTCATGAAGAAGGAAATTGCCATCTGAATTCAAATGGTGGATGCTGCAGTCATACGATATTTGCTAAGCTGCCAAAAACATTTATTTAGCAGATACTGTGTGGAAGCTCATGTTAGTACTTGCATCATCAAGTGATGCAAACTTTTCTATTATTGTTTAAAATAAACTAAAAATTAACAATGCAAAACAGATGTAGAGTGCTTTCCTTTTATTGTTCTGTTCCTACAGTAGTATGGCTAGACAGCCAGACAGTAACCAGTCCTGAATCACATCAACAGCACTGCATGGTTGTTGGGTTTTTTTTTTTTTGCCCCAAATCATTTTATTTAACAGATGTTGTTCCAGCATTTTGGATTATTAAAATACTTTTGTGTGATGAATTCTACATGCTGGCATGTTATTTAAACATAATGTAATGAGTGGAAGACTTATTCATTTCTTGTTTTATGGGGAAGTTCCCTGTAAGAAAATTCTTCAGGAGTACATGGAAGAACAAAGTAACACAACCTGCAATAATCTTCCTATTTTGAAGTACTCTATTAAGTAACACAACAAAACTCAGGGAACAAAAATTGTACTTTTTCCCCTCAGAAGCATCAAATGAGGCACTGCATTCTGTACAATTGTGCCAGTGAGCATTCCAGTTAGCCAACCTGCTCTGTTTACATC